TTCAGTACACACTGGAGTTGGACAGAAGGTTCTTGGGAAAACCTTTGGCTAGTTAATAACAATTTTCTAGACCTGCATGCTCTCAGGTGCCAGGGCAGACTTGAGAACACTTCTTGACTGTCCAGATTTTAATTTTTGTCTTGTCAGAGTATTATTAAATTATATTTTTCGTACCACTCTAATAATTTTTTTGTTTCATACTCTGGGTACCCAATGTGTGTGTTCGACAGAAGGTAGAATGGAGATGTAATGTTCTTTATGGTGCTAGATGCTACCTAATCCCACAGATATTTCTACTGGCATCAATAAAGTTGCTGACACCTCACAGCTGTGGAATTAATCAGTGCCCCAGGATGTCAGAATTTTAGCTGAACACTGACAGTGGTCACACCATTCCCTCTCTCTTATGTCTGAGTTTCTTTTAATCTGAGCAACTGTAACTGGCATCCTGAAGGGCAAAGAAAGAAACTGGAAAGTACTGCAGGCTGAAAGGAGCTGAGTAAGTTCAGAGAAGTTCCTGTGTTAATCTCCAGTTTTTCTATCCTTGGCTTTTCTTCTTTTTGTAATATACTAGCTTTTCTGCTTCTTGGTTTATCAAAAATTTATCACTACTCAAACTGATTCCCGGTCACTGCTCTCTAAATATGTTTGTAGTGCTCTCAAGGTATTGCGATCCCATTGTATTAATGTAAAAAGCTTATCCTTTAGTTGAAAATATTTTCCACTGTTTAGGATGGAGGAATGCTTGGAGGCTCCTGGATTCTTTCACCAACTTTTTTTCTGGCTCTGTTCTGTCTTTGAACAAGTTGATTTGTGTGTCTTAGTTCTCCATTAACTGCAAATTATTGCCTCTGAATTGTGGTTGGTTGGTAAGCATTTTGAGGAACTAAGCTGTCAGCCCCACGGTGGTTTTCTTATCTCTTGAAATGCTGGAAGATGAACAGCATGCAAGTGCAAAGTGGCTTCCAAAAGTGGAAATTGTTCTTGAGGGCAGCTCTTTAAGAGCCCTTTATAGGGGCTTCTAAGCCTTGTCTACCTCTGCCTCACTTTTCCAATTGTAGAAATTAATTTGCAAATATTTTCAAATAAAAGGGCCGCTAAGGGGTCTACCCTAACTGTAAATGAATAATGTCTTCCCCAAGAGGAAGTGACTGAAGTAAAAGAGATGGAAAAAGTTTTCACATTTCTCATTATTGAAAATCTGTTTTATATAGCCAGGTTCAGCCTCTTAACTTCTAAGTGCCTTCTAGTTTGTGAAGGCAAGGATCAACATTCCAGTTGAACATGAGCAGCAGTGTGCCCGGGTGGCCAAGAGGGCCAATGGCATCTCGGCTTGTATGAGAAATAGTGTGACCAGCAGAACAAGGGCAGTGATCGCCCTGCTGTGCTCAGCCTGGTGAGGCCACACCTCAAACCAGGTATCTAGTTCTGGGCCCCTCACTGCAAGACAGATCTTGAGGTGCTGGAGCATGTCCAGAGAAGGACAACAAAGTTGGTGAAGGATCTGGAGCGCAAATCATATGAGGAGCAGCTGAGGCAGCTGGAGGTGTGTAGCCTGGAAAAAAGGAGGCTCCAGGGAAACTTACCACTCTCTGCAACTACCTGAAAGGAGGGTGTAGCAAGGTAGGGGTTGGTCTCTTTTCCCAGATAACAAGAGACAGGACAAGAGGATATGATATGGCCTCAAGTTGCACCAGATGAGGTTTAGACAGAGGGTTGTCAGGCACTGGAGCAGACTGCTGAGGGAAGTTGTGGAGTTAACATCCCTGGAGGGATTAAAAGATGTGTAGATGTGGCATTTGGGGATACGGTTTACTGGTGGACTTGGTAGTGTTAGGTTAATGACTGTGGGTTGGACTAAATGATCTTATCTTCTCCAACCTACATAATTCCATAATTCCCTATTTCATACTCCTGCTCCTCTAGTAGAATATTTCATTATGAATAAAGTTTGCTCAGGAGTAAGTTTTAGCTCTCCCATAGCTCCTCCCAAGAAAATTAGTGATTTTTGTTTAAGTGTACCAGCTAATCACTTCCAAAGGAGATCCCTGATTAAAAAGTACTGACCCTATCAAAGAGTGAGAGTAACTAAATCCCTGCATGAGTCTTCCAAATAATTTGATGATGCATTAATAATAACTCTATTCTGACCAGACATTTGTTGGTGCTCATTATTAGTGAGTGTAGCTTTCTTAATTACAGGGTTGTCATTCAACATTATCAACGGAATGAGTAAATACATTGATTTTTTTTCCTGTTATTTTATAGTGGTGCTAAGACTCACCAGCACCAATCTGTTGTCACTAAATGCCCACACACACAGACACCAGGTGTGCTTATGATGCTGAGGGGTAAGGCAGACGTAGCAGGTTTCCTGATAATGATGCCACAAGTGGCTGTACTGAGATTACTTTTATTTTTTAGCTTATGCCAGTAAACACCTTGCATTTCTTTATTCAGCCTTGCTTGAATTACCTGAATGTGTGACGGCATCATTACACTGTTTGTTCTCTCCCCCCACTCCAGTTTTTCCAGGTATCTACCCGAGAGCAATGGAAGTGGTGACCTTTGCTAAAAGAAAGTATTTTTTAGAATAAGTACCTTAATTAAAACAGGGGAATAAAGGAAGAAAAGAAGCTTAAAACAACAAAAGGTGCCACACCTATGATATTTGCCAGCCATCTTCTCATTTTCTTCTTCAGGATTCCAGTCCATATTAACTCACTCTTAGTCTATCCCTTAAAAAGCTGCTTTTTTGAAAGGCGATTAAATCACTGCATATCCTTCATAGTGTTTTAATTTGGTGAAGATCAAATTTGAAAAATTAATGGATCATGCAACTTTTGATGACCAGTGACAGTAGTAAACTTCACTGTCTTTGAAAACTGTGCCAGATGTTTTTACCTGCACTGATGTAGTAACTCCCTCTATGCCCAAGACCAACACCAAAATGACTTTTCCACACTAACAAAATAATATGTAAATAAGGAGGAACTTAATAACTTTGAATAATTTTCCTTGGATAATCCTTAGGATAGTAGGATTGTTTTTCATAGTCCTTTGGGCAGTCACACTGATGTCATGGTTTCAAGCAGTTAGAGGCTTCTTTTCCCACTGTGCTAATCCAAGCCACCCTAGAACAGTTTTGATGGGTGGAGATTTCGGTGTGGACTGAGGGTACTTAGTTAGTTCTGCTGCCTATGCTGGCTGGGAGCACACTGATTGAGTTCTGTCTTCTTTCTGGCTGGCAAAGACTGGCAAAGCAGGGAGATATTGGTTTGGGGTTTTTTTCTCTAATAAGAACCATCAATAATTTTAAAGATACACCAGCACTCTTTATGGAAGCATGTGGTTACCTCTAGCACTTGGCACAGAGTCTGGTTAGTTTGACTGGCATCTCATTTTTCTATTTTTTCACTATTTAGTGTCTTCCAGCATTGCTGCTAATTTTGATTGCCATATGTCAGTCTATAGTGAAGACTAATGATGAGGGAATAAAAACCTGGAACATGACGTATCACCTATGAATAACAACAAATAGAAAAAAAATTATGAGGACGCATGAATCCTATTCATCCTCGGCTGTTGGTTTAGTGTGCAACACGAGGAAAGGGCGTGGCTTTTCCCCATCCCTGCTGCCCAAGCAGCTGTTGCCACACAGCTGGTGACCCTCTCCCAAACTCTGGCAGAGAACTGCCCACAGTGCACCCCCAGGGCTCAGACCAATGCCCAAATCTATCTCAGGCTGTAAGACCATCAATGGCTGTTAAAAGCATTATATGCCATTGTGCGAGATTTCTAATTGCTAAGACCTTAGTGTTCATTCCCATTGCATTTTGACTGCAACATAATTAATAGAAAAGAGGCAAAGGAGAGTAGATGTTACTGTAATAGCTAATTAACCTGCTTTCTAAAAAAAAAAAAATATGTAGGTTGTCTTTCATTGGAAAGTGTTTATATGCTACTATGTTTAACAGAGTAGAATTCCAGCCTGCAATTATTTTAAAGTAGAATTCAGCACTGTAGTAACTGCCAGATATTGCTGAGTTTAGCTTTTTCTTCTTATAGTAAGAATATTTCCAGAATATTTGGCTCAAGAGCTCTCTGAACCTGTAAATAACGCCTTTTTAAACCACATTGCAGCTGGAGAGCTGCCTCTATCTTCCCTACACTATTTCCCTTCAACTGCCTAGCGCTGGAGGATAAAGATGTAACACCTTGTCGGGAAGGTGATGGGTAACCAGACCTGTGGAGAAGGAGACATCCTCTTTTGGCAAAGGGCGGAAATTTTTATTGTTTTGATACCGGAGGCGTGTCATCGACTGAAGGATTTCACTCCTGATCTCTCTAAGAGGCCCCGTTGCCCGGGGCACCCCTCGGCCCTACAGCCGGGGCTGGGCACATGCCGGGAGGGGAGGGGGAGCACCTTGTCCCTGTGACAGGTGGAGGCGGAGGGGCGGCTCGCCCTGCCAGCTGCTGTTCCAGAGCTCCGGGGACACCCTCGGGGGCGGCGGCCGCGCCTCTGCCGCGGGGAGCTGTCCTGGTGGGGGGCAGAGGACACCCTCGGGGGCGCGACCCGGGCCGAGGAGCCCCGCGGTGGCGGGGGAAAGTGGCGGGGCGAGCTGCCGCGGATCTCGCCTCGCCCCCGCCAGGAAGCGCCTGGCGGTGTCTTTCCCTGCGCCCCGCTCCGACGTGCTCGGGGCGGGGGCAGGAAGGGGATATGAAACTGCCGGGCACGGGAGCCCGACTCGGCGGGCTGTGGGGCTGAGAGGCTCTGCGGGACGGGACAGGGACGGGCTGTTCCCTCTCCCGCAGGATGCGCTGCAGCCCGAAGAGCGTCCGCCGCGGGGCTGTGGCGGGGCAGCGCCCTGCCCCCGGGGCGGAGGTGCCGGCCGGCTCCCCGGAGCGCTGCTCGCCGCCGCTGGGCCCCGCGGTGCCCTGAGCCCCGTGCAGGGCGGGCGGGCGGTGCCGTGATGCCCGGCGGCGGCAGCGGGGCCCCGACGTAGCGTGGCGGCGCGGAGCCCGGTCCCGCGGGGCGGAGGATGGCGTGTCGCGGCGGCTGCTGCTGCTCCAGCGCGGGTCGCCTGAACGCGGACAACGCGCGGTTCCTCCTGCTGGCGGTGCTGATCCTGCTCTACATGCTGTGCGGCGCCGCCGTCTTCTCGGCCATCGAGCTGCCCACGGAGCGGGAGGCCAAGGAGCGCTGGGAGGAACGGCTGGAGAACTTCACCCGGCGCCACAACCTCAGCCGCGCCGAGCTCTGGGGCTTTCTCCGAGAGTACGAGGAAGCCAACGTGGCCGGCATCCGTGTCGATGACATCCGGCCCCGATGGGATTTCACCGGTGCTTTCTACTTCGTGGGCACCGTCGTTTCTACTATCGGTGAGCGGCGGGACGCGCTGGCGGCAGCGGCTGGACGGGCGGGGACCGGGGCGGCGGTGGCGGGGCCAGGGCGGGGGCGCCGGGAACGCGCAGCCCCTCTCCTCCTTCCCAGCTCCCGGGCTCAAAGCGGGCTCCTGCCGGTGCCGCGCCTGGTCCTGTCTGCTCGCTGCTCCTTTTTTGCCTTCCCCTGTCAAAAAACGCTGCCGCGGTCGCACCACGCTTGCGGGAAGCGCTCACTTCTGGGAGCGCCCCCGGAGTCCCGGGCAGCACCGGCTGGCGCTGGGAACCGTGCTGCGGGCGGGCAGGGCAGCGGACACCACACTGCTCCCCTCGCCCGTCTCTTGTCTGCGCGGAACAACTTGTCCGGGATGCGGTGGCGGACTCTGTGAGAGACCAGCGCATCCAAAGCCGAAAGCTCTAAATGGTCGCTCTATGCCTTTAAATTCTGGGAAATCTTAAAACAAATCTTAGATCTGGAGGTGGGTTGTTTCATAGGCTGTAAGCTCAGAAGGGCTCTTTCTGAGAATCGTCTGGTTCTAACAAGAATCATGAAACAGATTTTATGGTGTCCAGCTGCAAAGTGTGCAACTTGGAAAGGCTGGATTTCAAACCACTTGGCTTTTTGTTCTTCAGGCTCTCCGAGGCAGAACCATCAAGTCAGTGGGCACGGTTTATTTCGCTGTAATAATAAATAAATAAACCCAAGTTTATTCAGCCTGAAGGAACCTTCAGGGGAAGGTGATATTAAATAGAAAGTCTGAGGGGTCTGACAGGTGTACATTAAGATTAAAAGGGATAGCACCAGGACCTGACATAAGCACCCCAGGGAGCCCATGGGAGTCAACAGAAAGGCTTCATTCAAGCAGCTGCAGACAGCTAAAAGCCTGGGAGAAATGGAGCTTGCTTTAGTTAAAGACAGGCAATCTATGTGCAGTTATCACAGTGACAAATGGGGTCACTAAATCTTAGTAATGGTATATCCAATTCACATTAGACTCCCTCCATAAGTGAAACACACACTGAGGTGTTTAATCACCAACAGCAGTTCTTCAGGAGGTGTCCGTTAGTTTTTTCCTGCAGAGCAGTTTAGAGATGCCTTGCTTTTTGTGGTATATGTGAGAGTTTGTGCTGTCCTGCAGCACACCCCTTCCTATTACTGACTTTTTTAGATCTGGGTTTATTCTGTTGTTAAAGATGTCATCGGTTTGGTTTAATATTTCCTCAGGGCCTCAAGACTGGGTGTTTTGTGTCCTTAGACCTAAAGTCTGTAAGATGCAAGAACTATACTTCACTGTTCTGCTGAACTGGTAATTTATAGTAACTTATAACATTTTTAAGCCCATTTTTGTGAATTTCTGTAGTTTGTTTGCCTTTGTAACATCTCCCTTAAAGCATGCTTCTTGTATGATCAAAATACTATGTTTATGCTAACCTTTACTACAACCATAAAATCGTACAAAGAGCCAGGATCAGATATCAAAAGTCCACCTTGTTTGCCCCTGTTCATAGAGGAGGTCAGTTATATGTGACTTCTTTTTTTTTTGGTGATAGCTGTTGTCCAAGCTGCCATTTCAAACCTGCACTACTGAGGATTCCATAGCTTCCACAAGGAATCCAGCCTTGTTCATTATTACCCTGAGGTTTTCCTGATGTCCGCCTTACTGCAGTTCAGTCACTTGTTTTATTTTTGTCTTGCCATCCTTCATACCCAGAGAATGGCCTCCTAGGTGCTCAAAGCCCATTGTCACTGTGTCCCTTCAGTCTTATTTCAGAAAACCACAGTGTTGTAACCCCCTTTTCCAGTGATACAGTTACTTCTCACATGTATTAGCTGATGTTAGTTGTACATTAATATATGTCTTCTATAAATGACATTGTTAAGGAGAGAAGTGTATCTGTGGTATGACTAACTGTAGTTGCTCACAAACACAAGTATCCACTTATCCACTCACACTTTTTGGTAATATCTCTGGCTTGCTGATTTCTGTTGCCCACATTTTACAGCTCCATCAATGTTTCTGTGGAAAAGTCCTCAAGACTCCTTTTTCCTTCAGACTGTGTATGGTCTGTAGGCTTTGATAATTTACACCCTGTCCTTTTTACCTGATATTGCTTTTTTAAGTCTTATCAATGGTGGCACTTCCTCAATGTGTTTTATCACTCTTTCTTAATCCAGACAAGGGCATTGCACACTTTCATCATATCAATGGTGACATGATGTGGCCGAAGGAATGGCCTGAAGTTGTGTCAGGGAAGGTTTAGGTTGGATACAAGAAAAAGGTTCTTCAACCAGAGGGCTTTTGGACACTGGAACAAGCTCCCCAGGGAAGTGTTGACAACAACAAACCTGACGTGACTCTTGGGGTCACGTGGTGTGACTCCTGTGCAGGGCTAAGGGTTGAACTCGATGATCCTTGTGGGTCCCTTCCAACTCAGCATAATCTGTAATTCTGTGGCGTGTCTCTTTCATAATCTTCTCATAGCACTTCTGCTTTGTGTGACTGTGCATTTCAGTGCTTTAACTTAGCCTGTGCTGCAGGCTGGGCTCTGCAGGCATTCACAGGACTGTGCTTCGACCAGGTCCCCTCAGGTGTACCACTCAGGAGCATTTTCTTGCAGGCTCTGCAACCACTTACTCACATGTGTCAACCATCCTGGCGTCCTAACAGTAGATTTTATTTTACACACCTAAAATCGAGGGACCCACAACGATCATTGAGTCCAACTCCTGGCCCTGCACAGAGCACCCAGAGAGTCATGCTATGTGGCAAAGAGCATTGAACAAATGCTTCTTGAACTCTGTCAGGCTTGGTGCTGAGACCACTTCCCTGGGGAACCAGTTCCAGTGTCCAACCACCCTCTGGGTGAAGAACCTTTTTCTGATGTATAACCTAAACCTCCTCTGACTCAGCTTCAGGTCCTGTCACTGGTCACCACAGAGAAGAGATCAGTGCCTGCCTCTCTGCTTCCCCTCTTGAGGAAGTTTTAGACCAATATGAGGTCTCCCTCCAGTCTCCTCCATGCTGAACAAACCAAGTTACCTCAGTCACTCCACACAAGGCTTCCCCTCTAAGGCCTTCCCCATATTCACGGTCCTCCTTTGGATGTTCTCTTATAGAATCATAGAATCATAGAATCATATGGGTTGGAAAGGACCTCTGAGATCATCAAGTCCAACCTTTGATCCACTACCACCACAGTTACTAGACCATGGCACTCAGTGCCACATCCAGTCTCTTCTTAAATACCTCCAGGGACGGAGAATCCGCCACCTCCCTGGGCAGCCCATTCCAATGCCTGATTACCCTCTCTGTAAAGAATTTCTTTCTTACATACAACCTAAACCTTCCCTGGCAGAGCTTGAGACCATGCTGCTTGTCTTATTGATAGCTGCCTGGGAAAAGAGAGCAACCCCCACCTGGCTACAACCTCCTCTCAGGTAGTTGTAGAGAGTGATGAGGTCTCCCCTGAACTTTCTCTTCTCCAGGCTAAACAACCCCAGCTCCCTCAGCCTCTCCTCATAGGACTTGTGTTCAAGTTCCTTCACCAGCCTGGTTGCTCTTCTCTGGACCTGCTCCAGCACCTCAATATCCTTCCTGTGTTTAATATCTTTCTTGTATTGCAGTGACCAAAATTACACAGGTCTCGAGATGAGGCTGCACCAACACAGAGTACAGCAGTCCAGTCAGCTCCCTTGACTGGCTGGCGATGCTGTGCTTATTTGAATTTGTACAGCACAAGGTGTCTTGTTCTCCTAACTGACATCTTTCTCCTTTAAATATTGTTTATGTTGCAAACAGTCCTAATAATTCAAAACTACCCGCTTTAGCCACTGAGCCATAACCAAGGCTCCATAATCCCAGGTGAGACAATAAGATAAGCTCACAGAAGCTGTGTTTTCTTTCTCGTAGATTCGTTCAGTTTCTAGAGTTTTCTTATCATAGATTCTGGTCTATGGCGCTGACACTTCAAGGAAGTTGTGCACATGCAGCATGTCCTGCTTTTTAGAGGAAAGCAGTACAAGTCAGTGGTTTTAGTTACACACTTAGATGCACCCCTCATTCATTAATAAAGTGTAATTGTCATCTCTCTGCTTCACTTTATCCAGGGCAACAATGAGAGTAGAACTATTCTTTGACTCAGAGAGGTTAAGCTCATTTTTATGCCCATAAAATGTATTGTCATTTTAGTCTTTGAATGCCAGGTGCCTAATTGTGAGCTTTAGAAAACACCATCGGACCCCAAATCCTGTCCCAAATGTAAACCCATAGAAATTTTTATCCTAAAGAGATTCTTCTTTTCCTTAAAAGCACCAGCATGCAGCTGTGTGATTAAAATTCTGACACAAGATGGGGAGCTTGGGTTTCTCTTTCCTGCTTTGACCACAGCTTTCACATTCTAGTTATTCTTGGTGAAGGCTTCATGTAATGGAGGGCAATGTGTAAACTATAATTAGTTTCCAAGATAACAAAATATTCAAAGAACTCCTAGTTACAGTGCAGAAAACTGGACATTCTATTCTATTGAGTAGAAACAGTATACACAATACAGCCTCTTAAAAATGTCATTGCAGTAATTAATGAATCAACAACTGTATGGTGATAATTTAAAAGTGAAAAGTGCATCTGACTGAATAAGTAACACTGGAAAAGGAGATTGGCAAAATACTGCTTTGGAATATTTTACAGATACACAAGGAACAAAATGAAAAAAAAAAGTTACACTGATTTTTTTTTTTGAGTCTGTTTGTCCAGAAGGTATTGAAACAATCTCTCTGGTCTTCATTATGTAAATAGAACAGAACAGGTTTGGGTTTGGATTTTTCCCAGGTTTTTTGTTTGTTTGTTTGTTTGTTTTCAAATATTGTAGCATTTGCATTAAGAGGACTTTAATGAAAGATAAAGCTAAAAATATGTCACCCAATAGGTGTGTTAAAAGTGGAGATAAAAAAGATAAAGTATCAATAAGGCTTTTCCTGTTCCAAGAGGAAACAGAAAGCA